TGTTCCAGACTACAGCTCCCAGAATTCCAGAGCCAGTATGACTAGTGACTGTGTTGGCGGGGGGGGGGGGGGGGGGGTTGTTCTGGGGGTTTTATTTCCCCCCCCAAAAAAAACTTTTGTTTTGAGATATTTGTCCTGGGGAAGACATAGTGGGTGAAAACAAAGAAAAGGAAGAAGAGAAAAGTCAAAGGAAAAATAGCTGATCCTGGGACTGCCAAGAATTTTCTCTTTTAGGAACGCAAGATTGTCTTTTGAATGGAGAGAAAACAAACACAAAAACTAGAATTAGATTCAAGGTCAAAGGGAAGGTGGCTGAAAACTGGCATCATTCATAACTTTCTTGGGTGGAGGAGACTATTTTCATGTATTCTGTAAGATGCCATAAACATTGAAAGACTCTCATATTCCTTTTCTCTCACTCTCAAAACTGAGAAAATTCACTCTTTTGGTCTGTAAATACCAGAATTCTCCAAGCAGCATGGCCATGTTTGCTGCAAATGTTGGGAATTGTAATCCAAAATAGTAGTTCCCAGCCCCTCAGATTTGATTGCTATAAATCAACAACACACGGCTCATTGTTTCTGCGAAACAGAATATCTTGTCTGTTCCTTTATTTGCTGTGCAAATATAAGGGCATTCGCTGGGTGTTTACCTCATGTGTACATGTACCAGCATCAGGCCATTTCTTTGTACTTTGCTAGATGAGGGAGATCTTTGTCCCTGTTTCACCCTAACTCCTATGTGGAAATACCTCTTTGACAGAAATTTATCAGTTATACTATATATAATTTAATGCAGAAATGCTGTGTGAATCAACACAAACCTATGAAAGTAATGTTCAGACCGTTGGTCTGTTTTGCGCAGTATGTTGCTCTCCCCCGTTGCCAAAAACATTGACTCACAAAATTCTCTTGTGCCCTTGAAGTGGGGTGGGGGGAGCAATTCAGCCATGTCTTGAAGGGCTCCAATAACCACAATCTTATTATTTTTTTAAATAACCACTAGAGAGTGCAAGGGGACTTTCCAGTATCTTTAAAAAAACTGAACTCCTTTTGTAAGAGAAATGTGGGTGGAAATGGAGTTATGGGAGCAAGGTAAAGGTAAAGGTAAAGGTTCCCCTTGACAATTTTTGTCCAGTCGTGTTCGACTCTAGGGGGCGGTCCTCACCCCGCTCTTCAAGCCATAGAGCCAGCGCTTTGTCCGAAGACAATCTTCCGTGGTCACATGGCCAGTGCGACTTAGACATGGAACGCTGTTACCTTCCCACCGAGGTGGTCCCTATTAATCTACTTGCATTTGCATGCTTTCGAACCGCTAGGTTGGCGGGAGCTAGGACAGAGCAACGGGAGCTCACTCCGTTGCATGGATTCAATCTTACGACTGCTTGGTCTTCTGACCCTGCAGCACAGGCTTCTGCGGTTTAGCCTGCAGCGCCACCACGTCCCTGCAGATTTTATGGGAGCAAGAGTGGCTCTCAAATATCTGGAGGAAGAGATATGTAGCCTATGGATCTCAGGAGGTTGTTGGCCCTTTTTCTACACTGATGTTTGGGGATCCTCCGGGGTCTCAAAAAGACTCCTCCTGGCCCTACCTGGACATGCCAGGCTTTGAATAGAGGACTTTCTGCATGTTAAGCATACTGTCTGATTCTTGAGTTTCAGGCTCTGATTTGTGACCGTAATCGTGGAAAGCACTATTGGAAACTAATACTGATATTTGCAGTGCATTACAAAATAGGGACGTGGTGGTGCTGTAGGGTAAACCGCAGAAGCCTGTGCTGCAGGCTCAGAAGACCAGCAGTCATAAGATCGAATCCACGCAACGGAGTGAGCTCCAGTCACTTTGTCCCAGCTCCTCGCCAACCTAGCATTTCGAAAGCATGCAAATGCGAGTAGATAAATAGGTACCACCTCGGCGGGAAGGTAAAATGGCATTCCCTAGTCACACTGGCCATGTGGCAAAGGAAACTGTCTACGGCTTGAAAACAGGATGAGCACCGCCCCCTAGAGTCGGACACGACTGGACTAAAAATGTCAAGGGGAACCCCTTTACCTTTTTACAAAATGAAGCATAGACTGCCAGTGGGCTTCAGCAAGAAAAAAATATGTTTTATCGTCCACTGTGTAATTATTTTTAGAGGACACAAGAATCTAACAGTAAACAGAAGTAACTGAGGTTTAGGGTAAAGGAGTAACAAGTTTCTAAATGGTTAACTACTCAGTAAGAAGCTGATGAGGTGGAAATGCATTAATGTTTGGCTTTGGTTTGGAATCTCATGCAACATGGCTTGGAAATGTCTCCGTAGTGTCTTTGGAAGGGACTCTTTTGCTAGTTATGTTATGTCTTAAGAGTTGTTTTTCACCAGTGGGTGTAGCCAAGTAGAGCCAAAGCAAAGTGGGCAGAGTCTGACATAACTTTTACCTATGAAGACATTTCCAAATAGTCACACACAGTTATATGCATCCTTGCTTAGAAGTAGATCCCTTTGTAACAAACTGAAAGCAGAGATCAAGTCCGGGCTGCAGTTTCTAGGGCTGTAAACCTGAGCTCAGTTCTTTAGACCTTAGTTCCTGGGTTGGAAATAGGCTCATGTCTTTAATTGCTGATTGGGGACAATAGCAACAGCTGCTGGAGGCCAGATGGGAACCCACAACATATTTGCAAACTCTCTGTCCATGAATTAGATGAATAAATCATCAAGCATTATAATGTACACTAGCAATTTTCATCAAGTAGGTCAGGGTTGGAAACAAGAGGAAAATACCATAAGGAAAGATGAGTCTCAGGGATAATTGCTGTCTGTATGAAGCAGTTCTCATTTACTAATAGGATGTGTTAAAAAGAAAGGCAGGCATTTTTCCTTCTGTGGCAAACAATCAGTAGTAGTATATCAGCAGAGAACCATTTATGAGCTCCAGTTTTTGTTGACAGTGTGTGTGTGTGTGTGTGTGTGTGTGCATGCGTGTGTTTGCTTGTGCGCGTGCGCGTGTGCATGGGTGCATGGCACGCATACACGTTTCTTTATGTTGGATGGGGAGAAAGGAGGCACGTTATTCTGAAACTCCTTGTGGAGAAAGCTCTCACCGGCTTAGCTAGCAGAGCATCTTCAGTGGCTATATCCAGAGAGCAAAACCACTTCTAAGCCAGGAGCTGTAGCACAATGGCATTTGAAGTTTCTCTCCTGGTGGCTATCAAAGGGCAAAGTGTTTGAGAGGAGATGGAAATAATCACCTGGCGCTGACTTCTGGCGCATAAAGGCATCAAACTCTGAGCATCGCTGCCGCCAATTAACCAGGAAAGAAATGTGTGCGTGTGTGTGTGTGGGAGAGCTGGAGTCTTCAGTGGCGTCCCCTTTTCGCTTTAATTATGGTAGCTGCATTTTGGAATTCCTGCAGAGGTGGCAGTTTCCTTTCTCAAAGATAATTTGCCATTAAGGGCATTTTTTTTCCTGTTTCTGCAGCAGCCAGAGAGAAAGTTGCTGTTTTGTGCAACAAACGTAAGAAAAGTAAAAGTTGAAGTTTTCTGTTTTCCTCTTTTTCTTGAGCAACAAAAAGTTTCCAGGGGAATATAGCTCTATGGGAGTGAGGCACAGATTAGAGAATCCAAAGCCATCATTCTGTGCAGATATGATCAGATTTAAGATGGCTATGTAAACATCCCCTTGGCAAGTCAGGGGGTCTGACACCTGAACTTTAGCTGAAGAGCCCTTTTAGACTATTCGCGAAGGCTTTCACGGCCGGTATCTAATGGTTGTTGTGGGTTTTTCAGGCTCTTTGGCCATGTTCTGAAGGTTGTTCTTCCTAACGTTTTGCCAGTCTCTGTGGCCGACATCTTCAGAGGACAGCACTCTGTCTGTCTTATGAGCACAGAGTGGTGTCCTCTGAAGATGCCGGCCACAGAGACTGGCGAAATGTTAGGAGGAACAACCTTCAGAACACGGCCAAAGAGCCTGAAAAACCCACAACAACCAGCCCTTTACAGACTTCTAGGAAAAAATCAGATATGTTTGTCACAGTTGGCAGTCATCCCATTTAGGGTTAATTCCATAATGAAATCAAACAGTCACTTCCAATTATATCAAAAGTCATCTGGGTTCCAAGGTATAAACCTTTCCATTGTGGCAATGATTCCAGGCAACATCAGCTTGTCTAGTTTTACAAGCTTTAGTTATCTACAGTGCTTCTGTGTTCCATGAGCACAAAAATGTTTCAAAGTTATTGAAAACATCCAAAAGTCTTACAGCTATGTAAAAACTGTGGACACAAATGCTTAAACATTTCTGAAAAATAAACTTAAGTGGCAGGCAAATACTGAAAGAATTTAATCCAAAAAAAAAAACAACAACAGGAGCATAAAATGTACAATCAAAATGTCCAAAACAATGTTTTAATTACATTCTAAAAATGCAAAATCTTATAGCCTAAAATGGTACAATCAAAAGCAGAGAATATTCTGTGTGTAGGGATCACATAGTGGCCAAAAATTTAAATGTGACTTAAATAAAAATGGGCACAAATCACCAGTTTATTGGCCAAACAGGTGCTCAAAGGCCCACGTCCTCTGGCAGGTGCCCGCTCAGAGACAGCACCTTAGTTTGCCTGCCCCACCTCCTCCAAGACTGCTTCTGAGTGGGCGCTTGCTGAAATGCTGAACACGTATTCGGCCAGTAAGTTAAGCATTGCAGGTAGAATCCTGTTTGCAAATGTAGAATCTAACAGTTCAGCCAGTGGAATGCTCAGTGTTTGCTCCTGGGATTTGGGACATATACACATCGGAAAAGTTCCCTCTCTTCCCCCACAATATGTCTTTCATGCTTTTCCAGCAACTTTGGCCAGTGTTGATGGTGAGTGGGAGAGGGTGAGATTTATAACGCAAAACAAGAGACACTTGTAAATGTCCACATAATCCCAAGAACTTTGTGGCTGTCAGAAATATAGCTGATGTGTCCGATTCCCCTGCTGGCACATAACGTTGTGACATCTGTTTGGTAGGGACATTTTATGATGCCATTTTCTTTCCTCTTTGGCTTGCAGAATGTGGCACCTTTTCACGTGACAGTGCGAGAGGACAACTGCATCGTCGTTTCCCTCGAAGCTGCAGATGTGGTGAGCTTCTCCGCGGTGTATGTTGTGAAGATCACTGGCGAATCCAAGAACTATTTTTTCCAGTTTGATGAATTCAACAGCACTTTACCTGCCCCCGTGGTTTTTAATGCCACCTACCATGGCCTTTATTACATAGTGACACTGATGGTGGTGAGCGCTAACATGGTTACCAAGCCTACTAGATCAATCACTGTGTTAACCAGTAAGTGTTTTTTTTTCTTTTAAAAATTAATGGATTTGGGTGGGTGGGTGTTGTTTGTTTGTATGGTTGGTTTGTTGGCTGGCTGGTTGGTTGGTTTGATCTTATGGCTTTTGGCTGTTTACTCTTTGGTGCAAAATTAGCAGTTTGTTTGTTTGTTTGTTTGTTTGTTTACAAGTGTTTTTTTTAGCCACACCATTACCAATGGTCTCTGAGTGGCATACAACAATATTAAAACTTTAAAAGCATTAAAATCATTAAAAATAGGCAATATTATAATAATATCTTATATTAAAAACAGTCATTAAAACGTTAATATTAATAAATCCTGCTGCTCATATAGCCAGCTAAAGAATACTATTTAATTAAAATGCTGGCTAAACAGAAAGGTCTTTGCTTGGTGCTGAAAAGCAAAAAGTGTTGGAGCCAGGCAGATCTCTATAGGGAGGGCATTCCAAAGTTGGGGGGCAACAGCCGAGAAGGCCCTATTTCAATATGCCATCCCCCTCACCTCTTTCAGGGATGGCACCTTAAGAAGGGCCTCCTGGCCTGATCTTAGAGGACAAGCAGGCTCGTATGGAAGAAGACGGTCCTTTAGGTAACCAGGTCCTAAGCTGTTTAGGGCTTTATATGTCAAAGTAAACACTTTGAATTGGGCCCGAACAGCAACTGGCAGCAAATGTAATTTTTTTAGAACCATCATATTATGACTCCGTGTAGCGAAACCACTTACCAGCCGCACAGCCCAGTTCTGTGCCAGTCACAGTCGCCGGACTATCTTCAAAGGATGCCCCACATATAGTGCATTTCAGTAGTCCAGTCTGGTTGTTACCAGTGCATGTGTGGCTGTTGCCAGGCTCCGCTCATCCAGGTAAGGGTGAAGTTGATATATTCTCCGCAGATGTAAGAGGGCACCCCTGGACACCAAGTCTACCTGGGCTTCCCAGTTCAGACCCGGGTCAAGGAGCACCCACAAGCTGCGGACCCTGTCCTTTAGGGGGAGTGTAACCCCGTCTAGGGCAGGGAAATGGCCCTTTAACCTATCTGGTGGGGCACCTACCAGCAGCACTTCAGACTTGTCTGAATTGAGCCTCAGTTTATTGGCCCTCATCTAGTCCATTAGCGAGTCCAGACATGAATTCAGAATGGCGACTGCCACATCTGGATTGGTAGAGAATGAGAGGTAGAACTGGGTGTCATCAGAATATTGCTGACTCCTCAGCCCAAACCTCCTAACGACCTCCCCCAGCGGATTCATGTAGATATTGAACAGCATGGGATACCGTATAGAGACCCCATGACACAACCACCATGGAGCTACTGTCTTCAGCACCACCTTCTGGACTCGATCAGCCAGGTAGGAGTGGAACCACTGCTTAAGGAAGTATTTTGGTTAAAAAAAAAAAAACCTTAAAAATGAGGCTCTGTTGGACTCTATACAGACATTTCCAAAATAGCCAATTGCTTTAAAGGTGTTGATGATGAGGCTTCTGCTGCTGCTATTTGGGGGGGGGGCAGTTTGATGGTGAAATAATTACATTATGTAATAATTATATATTATATTTTGCTGACACATTGATTTCTTTTTGAATAAATAGACTGCATAAGGTACGGTACATGTATCTCTTCACCTTTGCTTATGATAGCTTGTTTGGGATCAATAGGAGATTAGACGTGAGCTAATCAACTAAATCTTAATGCAGGCAAAACAGAACTGCCCTTGATCAGCAGATCACCTGATCAAGCAATAGAGATTCATCCTAGATTAGACAAAAGAGCAATATTCTGGCACGGGGAATAAATTTGCCATTTGTAGATATCTCTTTGATTGTGGATTCTTTTTTAAACACAGCTGTGGTGAGACCTGCACTGCCAAGCATAAGTTAAGGCACCAGCTACCTGGGGACATGATAGCTATGTTTAAATATTTGATGGGATGCCGTTTCGAGGAAGGGACAGGTTTGTTTTCCACGGATCCAGACACTAGAAGAAGGAGCAATGGTTTCAAACTACAGGAAAAGAGATTCCACCTGAATCTCAGGAAGAACTTCCTGACAGTCGGAACTGGTCGGCAGTGGAATAGGCTGCCTCGGAGTGTGGTGGAGTCTCCTTCTTTAGAAGTTTTTAAGCAGAGGCTGGATGGCCATCTGTCGGGAGGGCTTTGATGGAGTTCCTGCATGGCAGGGGGTTGGAATCGACGGCCCCTGTGGTCTCTTCCAACTCGATTCTATGATTCTACCCTTGTTTTAGCTAATGCTGAACCAGACCATGGCCGCAAAGCTGTATAAAGACCTGATGCATGTAATATGGTGGTCTATGTGACTGCTTTTAGAACGTTTTGAGTACAGTACCTGTAGCTGATTCAAAAGCGCCTCAACTAGAGATAGACAAGAATTCATGTTTCAGAGGTTTCACAGATGGTCACACAACTGTTCCTCGGTTCGGCGTCCCACCTCCTCCAGCGGGCGCCTACTCAGAGGCAGCATCTGGAGGAGGTGGGAGAGGAAAGCCTGGGTTCTGCCTCTATAAGTGGGCACCCAATTTATAGAGGGTGGAGGGGCTCTGAACTGGTTTGCGCCTCTCTCTAGAACTGCAACTGGGATATTTGGAGTGTATAGCTCCTCTTTTTTTATCAGATGCATTGGCTGCCAATTTGAGCGCAGTTCAGTTCATGACCTCTGGAGCGTTCTGGGTGTTCCAGTCTCAAAATTATAAGCTCAGAGTCTGGCCTGCAGATGGCAAGATGCCACGAAGTGCAAGCAAGTGAAATTGTCTAGCCGGAGCAGAAGGAAGCAGTAAAAGACAGAGACGAGGAGGACAGAGGGAGGCAAAAGGGACCGCCCAGGTTCGCCAACATTCAACAGTTGAATGCTGTTAAATGCCACATCTTTACTGTTGTGGTGCTTAATTATCTCCGTTGCCGCGGCAACTCGCAGCCGCTACTTCCCCTGTGCCATATGGCTTCCTGTCTGTGAAAGATCGTTGGCGTATTGAGACCACACGAGAACATATTGGCAAAGCGCATGCCTAATTGGGCTACGGCTGAGTCCTTCATGCTCAGCAGGTCACTTTGCTCCAGACAGGCGCCGCATCCCATTGCAGCCCATCCACCAGCGTTGGCTGCTGTGGGACTGCAGCAGAGAAGGGCTGCTGCCCAAGCCTGACTCTGTGAAATAAGTGGCATGGAACCCGTTGGTCCCTCTGCTGCCCTTAGGCATTTCTGAGTGGTGTCCTTAGGGACTATGGATCATTGCAAGAGGCCTGCATGTCAATGTTGCAGTCCCTTTCCTGCTCTGCAGGAAAAGCAGAAAGCCTAAGAACAAAAACTAGATTCCACCTGCAGTGCACAGCAAGTGCGTGAAGCTTGAGTTCTCCTACATAAGCTTTTCACCTGCAACATTCCAGCAGCCTGCACCATTGCATAGATCCTGCCTGGTCTGCTTGTCTCACCCCTGTATCTTGTTGAGGAACAGTGTGAGCTTGGAAAAAAAGATATTTTGTTTTGGATCCCAGCTTCAAGAATCTGCCACATTGGCTTTCTTGGGGTGTCAGGGCAGTGTCAGGAGTGATCTGGAGTGCATCTACAGCCCATGTGCTGGACTTTGTTCATCCTTGAGTTAGAGCAGTGGTTCCTAACCTTGGGTTCCCAAATGTTCATGGACTAAAACTCCCAGAAGCCTTCACCAATAGCTGTGCTGGCCAAGATTTCTGAGAGTTATAGTCCAAGGACATCTGGTGACCCAAAGTTCAGAACCCACTGAGTTAGAAGGATCAGGTGCCAAGTGATGGGCAAGACACAAGGGGGACTGAAGTTTCATGGGGTAGTGGTGGTAACATGTACTCCAAGCGTTAGTCCAGGTTTTAAAGGATTTATCCAGGGTTCTGAGCCTGTTTGGGGGATAGGGATTGGCACCTTG